GGGGGGGGGGGGGGGCAGAGTTACACAGTTGTTGAGAACAGACATGTAAAAGATCCAGTACTCGATAAACCCGAATATACAAAAAGTATGAACTTGGGCAATATTGCACAAAATTGCTTGGGGAGAAATCACTAGAACATTTCGTTGTTCGCATGTCGCTAAATCCAATAGCGATGAAGAAGAGATATTGATTCATAATATTCACTACACAAAGACATCATGGATCCAAACTTTCACAAAAGCACAGCTAGTTAGATTGTCGTTGGACCTAAACATTGAATTCGATAATAACAGCAGTATCGACCAACTACGAAAGCTCCTGAGATCGTACGTACGAGACAAACAACGAATATAAGAAACGGAACGCAACGAAACAAATATAGTCCACAAGATAATTCACACGATGTCAGAGCACAAAGTGCCAAAGTTAGAGTTTGTACTAAGAGAAGATGATTGGATAACATATACGGAACGATTGGAACTATATTTCCTGGTAAACGATGTAAAGGCTGACAAGCAAGCAGCAGTCTTCCTAACGAAAATAAATCCGGAAACGTATAACCTGGTAAGAAACTTATATGTACCAGATAAACCAAGCACAAAGACGTATGTGTAACTAGTTGCGATTGTCAAAGATTATTTAAACCTAAACGTTCTGAAGCTATGCAAAGATGTAAATTCCACCAAGCACAGCAAGCGTCAACGGAAGCAGTTGCAGATTTGATGCAAGACTAAAGCGACTTTCATTATACTGCAACTTGCCGGAAATAAACAACGCGGTACGAGATCAAATCTTGTGTGGCCCCAAAGATCCCGCGACGAAGAAGATCCTGTTGCAAGAAGAAAACTTGACTTACAGTGCAGCATATAGAATTGCACGCCGATCGAACGTATGAGAGTGAGCACGTAAGAGTGAGTGTGGGCACGGCATTATAAGATCTTTGTAAACCTAGCTGTAAGACCATATGGCACTTTCTTTATTTCTATTTAATAACTAGCATATAAGCAAAATTGGGTTGTAACAATATATTCGAATCATTTCATTGAGATTACTGGATCTTTGATTTAAATAGACCATACACCAATTCCTCCACCTAACGGCAATCCAAAGGACCGGGCCTGTATAGGACGGCAGTCAAGAACTTACCCAGAACAAAACTAAATATAAACTTCCACGCGTAGCGTGGGAGATTAACTTTGTTAGACGTATAATAACGCCCTGCACATCACAAGTTAATTGGTGTCAGAATTGGGGTCCTTCTTGACTACCCCCGAGGATTGAAAACGGAATTGGTGGATGCTCGATATTGGAGCAGTTTTTTTTCTCTATTAACGGGGACTTAGAATCTAAATCGGTAACCTCCTTTCGTCTATCAAACTCCGCCGCAAGGAATTCTGATCATTATGGCGACCGACTCAGACATATTTACGGGATTGCTTAATAACGTAACGGAGATGATGAGCAGCATGGCGCTACAGTAACGGTTGGGGCTAGATTCCAAATATGATGGGAAAAATATGTCTCTCAGGCATTATTTACAAGACATACAGAATGGTGCATCGTTGCTACCACCAGGCACGGAGAGCGAATACGTTAAAGCTGCTATAGGGAACCTACAGGGTGACATCAGGAATATCGTTTACGGCGAACAGAAAAACACCGTCGCTGACTATATAAAATATCTAAAGAGCCGTCTCGCCACGGGCAAAACATATGACTACTATACCGATGCTCTCTCGCGGATAAGGATGAAACAAGGTCAGCTCGTCGGTGAATTCTATGGTAAAATACGGATACTCCTTAGCGGTGGACGGTCTGCGTACCGGGCGCAACATGACGTTGACCCACCCGAAGGAGAGAAGGATCCGTTAAGACAGTTATCTCTGACTGCGTTTATAGACGGATTACCGACAAAAATGAGCGATGCCGTAGACAAGCGAGAGCCGGCGACGTTAGAGGAGGCTTTTCATATAGCTCAAAGGTTTGCCGATAGAGACGAACGTCGGAAAACGCCGCGAAATAAGTCCCAGTCGTGTCCTGTACACGAGGGAAGGCGATAACACTGCTCGTCCTACGTATCACAATCGGCCCTCCCACGCGGAAAAGAGTTCGCGCTCTTCATATCGCACCAGCGATTCTCGCCTGAAATACCGAGACGACGTTGAATATCGCCACGCGCGAGAATCGCGGTCGCATTATCGGCATGATGACCGACCATACGATCGGCGAAAGTACGATGTGTACCGTTATCACAATTCGCGCACCCCATCGCCTGCGTATCGGAGCTCCCGGCGGGAATATACGGTTCGGCAGGAATCGCCTGATCATGATTCTTCACCAAGACCGAGTGGAATTTTGAAACACCGTCCGAGGAGCGAGGACTATACCCGAGGGAGTGAAAGACACGGACGACCAAGCAGGGAATGTTGCTGTTGTTCTAAAATACGAGTCGATCGTTCGCCTAGTCCGGTTGATCGTCAATCTTTAAACTACCAGGAGGCTCGTCGCCCAAGTCCGACGGCGAGCCGTTCACAAGAACTGCGTCATGCGAGTCACCTGGACGAGAAGCAAATCACGGTGAAATTTCTGGAAAAGTCTGCACCGTCCTCTGGGCGAGCACCTCAGCAGAATCACCGGTAGTGGAAATGTCAGCCCCGGAACTTCGTAACCGAGTAGGACGATTTTTTTTAGAGACGGGCTCGGACGCCAGCCTTATTAAACTGAGGGCAATAGATGAAGATCAGACAATAAATACGGATGAGATAAGCAAAGTCTCAGGAATCGCAGAAAAAGAAATATTAACGCTTGGTACCGTATTAATTCATTTTACAGACAAGCCAACAAAGTTCAATGTCATGTACGATCTACCGTTGGCAGCCGACGCTATAATTGGGAAACCATACTTTCGCGAGGAAAAGGCGGAGATTTCATTTAACCACAATACCATGGTTACTCAAAGCGACCCCATCCGACCCAAACCGTTTGTTGATACCAACCCTCATATAATATGTTACCCGTTAGAAAACACAAAGAACCTTGCCTGCCTAATAATTCGCGCACCCGCATAGTATCTTGAAAGTTCCATGGCTCGTTAGACAGCGATATTTCGAAAAGCCAATTGTTGCGGTGTTATCACTAAGGGAAAGTTACGTAGTAACCCCTGATTTCAAGGGTATAAAAAGCCGCGAAATCAGGGTAATTTGAGTCAGTCTTGCCCCGACTGACCGACCAGTAACTGGTGAGTAGCAGAAGTGGTCTAACGGCCTCGCTTCAGCCTCCTAGTCTCCCTGCAGTAACCTAGGTTCCGCTGCGAGGGACCCTGGTAAGGACTTTCGGCCGGTCTTAATAGACGCTCGGTTCTTAGCTCGCGCATGACCAGACCCTGAAGCAGTCGTAAAAGACGGAAGGCGAACGCTGCCCGACGCCGGCACCCCGTAACTTTGTAAAGCAATAAAGAAAAAGCTGGACAACCTCCGAATTGTTCTTAACTAAATGATCTATATTATTGAGCGTTAACAAATAAAGCGGATATTAACAGCAAAATCCAACCGTGTCTTTCGAATTTGAGCTCGCACCCGACAACAAGTAACGTTAGAAGTGGTGAACAGGGATTTAAAAGAAGGTTATCTGGCTCGTGTGGCGGCACCAGAAGGGCTGTTCCTGGGCGAAGCCCTAGTCACCCAGACCAACGGCCACTGCCACGTGACGGTAATTAATACCTGGAACGAAGATATAGAAATTCACCCAGGAGCGCAGGAATTAGAGCCATTCACTTACTGTAGTCCCGACGGGAAATCTGAGCTCGAGGATACCGAGTCAATGGACGTAGACGCTGTTCCCCCGGCAGATCACGTAACCGCTATTTTAGCTGCATTGCGAGTAGATAATCACAACAAAAAGGAACAGAGACATGTTCGTGAACTTATCGAGGAATACCCTGATCGATTCAAGCTCCAAGGCGATAGGTTACAATGCACGGACCGCGTCTATAATGAAATTCCAACTGTCGATGACTTGCCGATAAACACCAGACAGTACAGATTCCCGGTAATCCATAGGGATGAAATCGAACAACAAGCACTGACGAAACTACGCGATGGGATAATTACTCCTTCGCAATCGCCGTACAATTCGCCAGTGTGGATAGTGCCTAAGAAACCTGATTCGCAGGGCCGTCCGCGCATGCGAATGGTGATAGACTTTCGCAAGCTTAACGAAAAGACGGTATCTGACGCTTATCCACTGCCCAATATACTAGATATATTGGACCAGTTGGGCCAGGCGCAGTATTTTTCAACGTTCGATCTAGCCAGCGGATTTCAACAAATTCCCATGGATCGCAAGGATCGAGCAAAAACCGCTTTCTCTACTTTGAACGGGCATTATGAATATGCTAGGATGCCCGAGGGGTTGAAAAATGTACCTGCTACGTTTCAGCGACTAATGGATAACGTGCTGAGAGGACTGCAAGGCACGGAATTATTTGTGTACCTAGATGACATCGTGGTCTTCGCAAAATCGTTGGCGGAACACAAGGTCAAGGTTTGACGCCTCATGAGACGCTTAGAAGAAGTTAATCTCACCTTGCAACCTGACAAATGCGAATTTCTTCGTCGAGAGGTTGCTTATCTCCGACACATAGTAGGCCGTGACGGGCTGAGAATGGATCCAAGGAAATTAAGAGCAGTAGAGAAATTTCCTACCCCGAAAACTCAGAAGAATGTGCATCAGTTTCTGGGTTTAGCCGGTTGCTACCGACGGTTCATACCAAATTTCTCAGCGCGCGCAAAGCCATTATTTGACTTACTAAAGAAGGGGTTAGCATTCTCTTGAAGATCTCCGCAGAGGAGCAGCTTCAGGGACCTTCGCAAGGAACCAGTATTGCTGCAGTACCCTCACTTGGATAAGCAGTTTATTTTAACAACAGACGTCTCGGACATCGCTATAGGTTCAGTACTATCACAAGAACATAACGGGCAAGATCTGCCGATAGCCTATCATTCGAGGGTACTAACAAAGGCTGAGAGGAACTATTCTGCTACAGATAAGGAATGCCTGGCGATCATTGATTCAATAGAGCATTTTAATACCTATCTGTATGGTAGGAGGTTTAGGCTTGTTAGCGACCATGAGCCCTTGAAATGGATAGGAGCCATGAACGACCCTGGGAAACGGCTTACGCGGTGGAAATGGAAAATGAGAAGGTACGACTACGAATTTGTCTATAAGGCCGGGAAATTGAACGACAACGCGGATGCGCTTTCCCAAAATCCAGTAATTTCAGGGGAATCAAGCTCGGAGTGTTCTGAAAGCGACAGCACGAAAAGAGTATTTCCGATAAACTCGAGTAATATGCCGAAATCAGCACGCGGGGGAAGTAGTATCATGAGAGCAAGGGGTCGGGGGAGCCCACCGGGACCCTCTAAAGGCGCGGGAGTTACTAGATTTTTGGCGACCCAAAACCGTAGTGGTATTGTCGTGGCGAAGGCCAATAATCCCGTCGTTGGAACTCGGGAATGTCTAACATACAAACCCGATAATTACGTCCATTTTGTATCCGCAGACGGAGAACTCGTTACGCCAATTGATAAAATACTCTCGGATCTGGGAAGAATTGATGAAGACAGAATGAAACAAGCAAGTCCAAAGGTGAGACAAATAGTTATCACGCTTTATGGGAAGAATAAGATCTACAGTATAATCATAAAAGCCCGGTACTTCAAAAAAACTGAAGATGAGAACATTTTTAAGGGATTAAGTAACTTGAAGAAGGTTTTAGAACGTAACCACGTCGAA